TTCCCACGCCCGCTCCTGCGCCTTGATGGGAACCCGCCCGTTCCTCCCGAGCTGAACCTGAGGGAGCCCAGCACCTCCTGCACCCACCATCAAGGTCACCAACCCACCTTGTGCTTGGTGCTCCTCCTTCGCCCTCTCCTGTTCTGCACTCCCTCACTCCTGCTCCTGCACCGTCCTTGTCCCCAGTGCCAATCCAATAATGAGGACACGGTATTGAGAAACAGGAAAAAGAAGGTTCATTGCTTTGTAAGCAAAGGAGCGACACAGGGGACTCCAGTCCCAGAGGCTGTGGTTCTGCCCGTCAGGGAAAACAGGGGGCTTTTAAAGAAGCGATTCAAAGGCTGCCTTCTAGGTGGGTCCTGCTGGGAGGGTCCCAGGTGCACCCTGAGGTTGTATTGAAATCCACTTGTTAATTTGGGAGACTGTCACTTCCTAGTTCTTCTGGGGACATCTCCTTCCAGAGGAGAACAGATAACTGAAGGTAACCTTGTTCCCTGCTCCAAAGTGAGGGATGGGGAGAAGGAGAAGAGGAGAAGGAAGACAGATCCCTTTAAAAAAAAAAAAGCAGGAAGGGCTGCATTCGAAAAGTGGACTGTTGTGACGGAGTCACCTCCCAGAAAAACCCCTTGCAACCAAGCCCTCCTCCCAGGTGCTGTGTTCAGGGACCCAGTCCCTGACAGTGCCCGCTGCATGCCGGAGCTGCCCTCCATCTGTATGTGGCCCTCCCCTTTTCCTAATACATCTTCACTTCTTCAAGGCAGATATTATTGCTGTCCCCAGGGCAGAGAAGGAAAGAATGAGAACTTAAGCATCTTGCCAAAGGCCTCTCTCCATTGACCTGCCCACACCCCTCAAGGGTTGAAAGTGTTCCCTGGGGTTTTAACTTCCCTTCACATCCAGGCTGCAAGTACCCATAGGCCTCAGAGGAGTCCCGGGGCTTTGGAGAAGGTCTTGAGAAAGGCAAAGGAAGGGTAAATAGATGGCAGTGCAGGGATTCTACACTAGGTGGTCTGATCTCAGAGGTTACCTCTTTATTTTCAGTGCCAGGGGTTGCACTTAGGGGTGTTTAACCACTGAGCCCCATCCCCAGCCCTTTTTCTATTTTGTTTAGAGACAGAGTCTCGCTGAGTTGCTTAGGGCCTTGCTCAATTACTGAGGCTGGCTTTGAACTTGCGATCTTCCTGCCTCAGCTTCCTGAGCCACTTGAATTACAGGTGTGTATCATGCCCAGCTACAGTTCACCCATTTTGAATATATGTTTTCCCTCCTCCCAGGGAAACAAAGATTCAAGAAAACAAATCAATACCCTGAAACATAGCCAGGTGCAGTGGCTCACTTCTGTAATCCCAGGTGCTCGGGAGGCTGAGGCAGGAGGATATGGAGCTCAAAGTCAGCCTTAGCAACTTAGTGAGGCCCTAAGCAACTCAGTGAGACTCTGTCTCTCAATAAAATACAAAAAAAGCGGGGGGTGGGGGGTGCTGGGGATGTGGCTCAGTGATTAAGCACCCCTGGGTTCAATCCCTGATACCACAAAAAAGAAAACAAAACAAAACCCCCAAAACTTTGAAACATGATCAGTGAGCAGTGAAACTTCCAAATTAGGTCTAATGGACACATAGACCTGGGCTTACTCACAAGCACGGATCACTCCTCTTTGTGTGAAAGGCCAGATCTACTGCTCTTTTCTTGAAACTTGGAGGAATAAAACCAGTTTAGTGACATCCCTGTTGGATTACAGCCGCATTTTTATTGCACACCTGCAGTGGAGTGTGGAAGCCCGCCTCTAGCCCGACCAGGGAGGGTGGTGCTCTCCATTCGCCAGCGCCCACTGTGCTGGGGAACTGCTAACACCGCTCAAAATCACTGCTGGCTAGGATGATTTCTCTGCTTTGGAGAGTTCATGACAGTTTATGAAGCAGAGGACACTCTCTCCTCCTGGACAGGGCTGAAGAAAGTCAGCCCTGGCCATTGTCCCAGGAAATGGGGGGAGACACTCTGGGAAGAACGCACCAGTGCCCCCTCCCTCTCCCAGGCCACGGCCAACAGAGGTCAGGAGGGAGAGCCTCTTTCCCTGGGCACAGGATGCCTTCCTTTCCTATTCTCTTCTGCCCCTCAGCCATCGAGATCCTTCCAAAATGCTAATCTCATTGTGTCCTGCTTAAAATCAGTGCTTTCCCTTAGCTTCCTTAGGATCAAGCTAGAATTCCTAATTATGGCCTTTGAGAAGATTTCACCCGGGCACCCGTCACAGCCACACCTCCGGGCAAGCCCTCCTCCTTCATCTCCCAGTGCAACCTTATGTATTCCTCCTTCGTCCATCATCAAAGCCCTTTGCCAGGGAATTCTCCCCCCAGGACCTGCTTCCCTCTCCCCGAGTCCTTGTTAAACCTTGTTAGTGTTGATATTGATCTTGAAAATGAGGATCAGGTCCTTATTACCCCAGTGTTGAAGATTAAACACCTGAGAAATGCCGAAGCAAGAGCAAAAAGTAAATCTGATTTAAAAGACAGAGAGAGAGAGAGAGAGAGAGAGAGAGAGAGAGAGAGAGAGAACCCACAGAGCTGGTGCCCGAAGGAATGGGGGTGTCCTGCCCCTTTAAGGAATTTAGGTTTTCCTTCTTCTCATGCCCCCCTCTTCCCAACCTGTCTACAGTGATCAAAAGATGACCAAAAGGCAGGAAGAGAACTGTCCAGGGCGTGATTGCTTGTGTTGGAAAGTGTGATCTTTCCCCTCCCCCAGAGGCTGTATTAGGTGCTACCAACACCTTTCCTTTTCTTTGTTAATCAGTTACCTGTCCTTTGTCCTTTGGTCTCAGTGCTCAGGTACAAGGCTCCTGGGCTTCTCCCTAACTAGCTCAAGTCCTTCTGATAGATGTTCCCATGGGATCCTGGGATCCTGTATCCTGTATCGGCATAATTGGGGTTTGATGATTGTAACGTCTGTCTCTCCTAATAGAATGTAATCTTCATAATGAACAGCCTGTTTCTGGGTTTTCTCATTATTATGTCCCCAGAGACATGCATGGTGACAGGGGCACAGAAGGTCTTAGAATGGGGGAGTGACTGAATGAACAACCCTGGTGTGTTAGTCAGCTTTTTCACTGTTGCGACTAAAAGACCCGACCAGCACAACTATGAAGGAGGAAAAGTTTACTTGGGGGCTCAGGGTTTCAGAGGTCTCAGTCCATAGACAGCAGGCTCCATTCCTCGGGGCTCGAGGGGAGGCAGGACATCATGGAGGAAGAGTGTGGTGGAGGGAAGCAGCTCACATGGTGATCAGGAAGCAGAGAGAGACTCCACTCTCCAGAGACAAATGGAGACCCCAAAGCCACGCCCCCAATGCCCCCTCCTCCAGCCACACCCACCTGCCTCCAGCCACCACCCAGTTAATCCCATCAGGGATCAATTCACTGGTTGGGTTAAGGCTCTCACAACCCAGTCATTTCTCCTCTGGACCTTCTTGCATGTCTCACACGTGAGCTTCTGGGGGACACCTCACATCCAACCTTCACACCTGGGCTCAGGAAACAAGCAGAGGGGGAGAGACTGGAGACACTGTATTTAACCCCTGTTCTTTTCACTGGTCAGCCGGCCGGGTAGCACTACTGTCATTCACTGCACTGTCAGCAATGTGTGTAATAACTTTATTAAGGTCAAATAGATATCACAATACACATTTATCCAACAGGATCAAGAGAGGGTCACAGATATCACCCAAGACACAAGGCTATTTTGTGCTATATGCTTCTCACATCACAGATCACACAAAGTTTGTACACAAATAACAACTTTTACCTGGAAATACAGTTGCTTAGCTTTCCTTACCATCCAGGCTCTGGTGTTTCAATTGAATTAAAATAAAGAGGAGAAGATTGGCATTTTCTTGGTAATGAATACATTCTAGGGAATATTTCATGAGAACCCTCTTTGGGATACAGAGTGGCACCTGGAAGCCATTTTTAATTTATCGGTGACACTCAAAGCAGAATTAGTAAATCTGTTGAGCTGTGACTTGAGAATTTTCAATAATTGGATTGAAGAACATATTAGCTTTATAAATAGATAGGATTAAAATGTTTGATTGGTCTACATAGATCTACAGAATTTCCTTTCTACACTAATACTTTAGAACAGCAACATCTTAACTATGGTATCTAAATCTGCATCTCCAGTATTCTATGAACATATCACTGCTTGAGCTCAGACAGTTACTGGGCTTTATTAGGCATGGTCCACAGGATAAGAGCCACAAAACACCATAGAAATTTACCAGAATGTAAATACTTAGATAAGCAAATAGGATAAATATTGGGCAGTTACCATATGTAACACTGTCTACTAATAGGAAAAACAACAACAACAACAACACAATTCTTAGTTACAATGCATCCAGAACTTAGGTAAAGCCAGAAAGACAAATTTGCAAAGGTATACAAAGTAATGAGTGTGTTTCTTTAAACATCCTTTTGACAAATTCATAGTGCAAACTGGAAAAACTTCGTAAATATAATTCAAATGTTTACTGTGTGAGAAATGCTTATTCATGCACTAAATCATATGAGCATTGATTTATCAAGTGAAAAAAAATACAGTAATTGCCTGAAATAAGTAGTTAGAGATTTGCATCATACAGGGTCTAAAAACTAAAAAATAATAATGCATGCAATGTTGTTATACATCAAATTGTTTCCTAGGAATCATTAAAATGTCTTTTGCGTCAAAATGCATAGGAAAACTCAATGCTATTTAATTGACTTTATGCATATTACCTACTAGAGACTTTAAGCTACAAAATGCTTCTACGATCTCTAACACACATATAAAATGACCATAAAAGTATCTGTGGATTTAACAAGGTACTCTCCAATTAGCCATCTGTGATAAATAATGTATCTCCCCATCTCATCTCTAAGTATCATTTATCACGACCCAGGCCTCTCTGCTTTAATGAGGACTACACATCTCTGACTTACATTCAACACTATCTGCATGAATAATTGATGGGAACTCTTAAAAAATTCCTCTGCCACTGAAGTGGAAGGTGTTGAGACCTTCTCCAGAAAACTGCAAAAGCTACTCTGCTAAATCTGATTGGTGAAGGAGGTGGGACCACTAGGCTGTTGGCCAAACTCGTCTGAGGATGGCCCCAAACTCGCCTGCTGGTTGTACCCACTGCTAGACCCATAGCTCTCTTGGTTGTACCCGCCTTGATTATAGCTGCTGGAATGCTTCTCCATGGGGTCCGAGAGGTATCTCTGTCCCGAGGAATGCCAGCAGGTCTCCTTGAAAACAAACCAGATGTTTCCAGCCCAGAGGATAAAATTCAAGAATCCAAAGACCTGAGGGGAGAATCAGGGCAAATGAGTTGATAGATTAGACAGAAATGCTAGGGGGAAAAAAAAAAATCTCAGTTTCAGAAAAATCCTTCAGAGTATAATGGACGTTTTTTTGCTTTAACATGGAGGCCCCATGACCCAGACCTGGTCTGATCTTCCATTTGAAATCACAATTTCATTTAGAATATCTGGTTTCTAGTAAAGGCCTGCTGTAAGCCAGGCACTGGGTAAAGGACTTTATATGGATTGATTCCCTCAGTCGAAGCTGACAGTGCAATTATTAGGCCCATATTAATGAAGTGGATTCTGGTCCAAGGTCACATGACTTGGTAAAGAGATCTGGGATTTAAACCCTCTTCTGTCTGATAGCCTGAGCCCTTACCTAAGCCATCAGTATATCTGCAAATGAGGAATTCCTCATGGTATATAGGATTACCATCAGGTGGTGTAGGGTGCAATATTTTCTCTTTAGTAATGATATGTTAATTTATAAGGCTACTGGCTATAGATACTACTTTCCCACTTATTATAATGATAGAAAATGATTTGATTTTTAAATAAACATGGAGCAATCTTGATATAGGCACAGAGTTTGAGGCTCTGCAGAGTTGTACTTCTGTGTCTCTCACATTCAGAAAAGAACGCCAAGAGCAGACCCAGAAAGAGGTGAGGTTACAGAGAGATAGAAAATGCTTCCTGAAGAACTGGAATATGAGGCTTTCCTATGCAGGTTTCTTTTACTCTCCAGAAGGGTTTTATTGAGTCAGAGGACCGGGTGGTATTTCTCCAGGGCCCAAGTCTTTGATGGCTACAGAGCTATTTGCTACTGCAACAGGCTCAAAAAGAAGTCCCCATCACATGGTTCTTCTGCCACCTTTTCCAAGACTGGTTGGTTGACTTGGGAATGAATCACAGTAGCCTGTTTGGACAATTTCATGTTGGAGACAGATTAGGTTAGTATAATACCAACTGAGATAATATTAAAGTCTATCGAGATAATATGAAAGAGATAATATTAAAGTATGATATTAAAAGTATAATATTAAAGAGATAATATTAAAGTCTAACACAGAGGTAGAGAGATGCTAGTGTAGAGATGTTGGGGACTGCTTACTAAGACATTTCCTTATTGCAGCATTAGGTGGGTCATTAGACCACCTGCCGACTAGCTGAATGTGGGACTTGGAGTGATCTCTGTGGGCGTTGAAATTTGAGTGGCCTGGGCACTTGCCTTCTTGCTCTGCAACTTGAACCTTAGACCTCAGGTTTTTATTCTTATTTGGAAAGAAGATAATAATTCTTTCTTTGGGGGATAGTTTGGAGAACTAAAGACAATATGTGAAGGTGGCCCGACATATTTGTGTTACATGGTAAACGATGCTCTGAATCACTTTAAAATATTTCCACCAATTGTAACTCTTTTGCTGCCACATAAATCAAAGTGAGTTTTGACCATGAGGCTATATTCTTGACAGGTGAAAAACAGTTAAAACAGAGTAACTTGATCTAATGAAGACTGGTTTATTAGAACCTCCTTCTCTCCCTTCCTCCTTCTTCTTTCCTATTCCAAATCTTTCCTTTAATATTGAGGATCAATTTTGTGACATGTCCCTCGCTATTGCTGAGGAAGACACAAAACATAAATCAGGTGTAATAGTTGCTTGATGGAAATGAATCATGTAATCACAGTCAAAACTCTAATTTGCATTCAGGGCATTTCAACCCTGTGTACAGTAACTGGATATTTGGCATGAGAAGGGAGAGCTTGACTAAATTGTACCTTTGTAAGTATATGCCAATATATAAGTGGAAAAATTATTAAGGGATCTTTTCAGATATGAAGAGATAGCTCTGTCCAAGGCTATAATTTTATCTGTTGCCTATAAATTGGGGGAATTAAAAATCCAGGCCACTCGATCCCTGAGCCCCATCCCCAGCCCTATTTTGTATTTTATTTAGAGACAGGGTCTCTCTGAGTTGCTCAGGGCCTCGCTAAGTTGCTGAGGCTGGCTTTGAACTCACGATCCTCCTGCCTCAGCCTCCAGAGCCGCTGGGATTACAGGTGTGCACCTCCAAGCCCAGGTTGTTGTGTATATCTTTGGTCTCTCCCTTTTCCATGTTGTTACAGTTTTTTTTGTTTTTGTTTTTAAATTCCAAAGGGATGCTCAAGAAGAACCTAGAAATCAGGGAAATGCAACTTAAAAGTAAGAACAGAAGGCATCCCTCTGATAGCTGAGGTTCCTGGGTCAGTCACAGAGGTATCACAGGTCTCTCGATGGGCACATTTCAGGGACACATGGCTTCCTTAGTATTTTCTTGCCATTTTGTTGCAATGAAACTAGGGGAAGAATTTTGATTCAACTTCAGAGGTGGGGACAACAGAGAGAGAGAGCTCGAAAGAGACTATCCCTAGCACAAGAAAGAACAGGGAGATGAAGTCGAGATTATCCAAAAAGATGTGCCATGTTTGTCTGAAGTGAAGATGGAGAAGTAGAAATCAAAGTTATGGATATACTAAGGATAAGCTTGATAAGAACTGAGAGATTAAAATAAATCCCATCTCCCTACATCTCGCTGGCCTCTAACACTTAATAATATTAGAGAAAATGAGTGTATACATTTTTTTCCCTGGGTACTAGGGATTGAATCCAGGGGCATTTAACCACTGAGTCACACCATCAGCCCATTTTTGTATTTTCTTTAGAGACAGGGTCTCACTGAGTTGCTGAGGGCCTCGCTAAGTGGCTGAGGCTGGCTTTGAACTCGTGATCCTCCTGCCTCAGCAACCTAGCACCCCCAGCAGCTAGGATTATAGGTATGTGGCATTGTGTCTAGCTGAGTGTATTTTTTAGGCACTTTGAGTTGACTTTTACCTAGCATTAACTATATACTGGGCACCACGTTAAGTCATATTAAGTATTTTTCATATATTGTCTTACCAAAATCTTCCAACAGTCTTGAGGTCTGTTCTATAATTAGGCCTGTTTTCCCGGTGGTGAGACTAAGTTTCAGATAACTGAATCACATTGTCCAAGGATAGACAGTCAGTTATTGCATGGTGCAGCCGGGACTCAAACCCTGGCAGAGTGACTCCAGCATCGTTCATGCAGCTGTGTTCCGTGGCAACAGCATTTGGACATTTTGGCTCCAGTTCTGGCCTTTTAGAATTTTGACTTTTAGACATTAATCTGGAAACTTGACACAGGTCCCTTAACCTCAGCTCCATGCAGGGGCATTATAGCTCATCTACCTTTATGTGTCATTATGAAATGATAGATGCCAAAGTGCTTTGAAGAAAGTAAGTTTGTTACTAAGGTGGAAGATAAGATGATTATTTCCTGACCCTTTGTTGGAAGATGTCACCTACTGTGGTGTGTGTCTGGCTCCTTCTCTAAAACTTGCTCTGGCCCAGGAGAGTGAGTGCTATCAGCTGTATTTAGATGACAGACTCCCCAAAGACAAGACAAAGGTGCACAGCAGACCTCAGGTGGGTTCTCTACCAGGTGTCTGGAATTGGAACTGAGTGAGTGTAGCTCGTTCCAAACTTTCTCTTCCTTTTTACTTGGGTGGGGTGGGGGATGGTATACCAGGGATTGAACTCAGGGGCACTCAACCACTGAGCCCCCTCCCCAGCCCTATTTTGTATTTTACTTAGAGACAGGGTCTCACTGAGTTGCTTAGGGCCTCGCTTTTGCTGAAGTTGACTTTGAACTTGAGATCCTCCTACTTCAGCCTCCCGAGCTGCTGGGATTACAGGCATGCACCTAGCCCAAGTTTTCTTTAACAGCAAATATAAACTTAGAAACTGTGAGGTGTTTTCTTCTGTTGTGGGTATGGGGAAAAAGTAAAAGTCTATCTGGAAAGAGACAATAATGAAACAGATATTCTCTTTCAACAGAAAAACACAAAGCTCCAGAAAGAGGTAAGGAAAAGAGTGGGAGATAAAACCTGTTCCATTTCCCAATGATATTTTGGTTCTTGGCCTTGTATTCTACGCTGGCAAGGCAACGTGATAGTATTTTTCCAATTATTTTCCATTTTGCATAAACTATCCATATGACTTGAAGGCAAATTTGTAATTTAAAAAAAATTATTGTGTTTGGGCTGATACATAGTTGTTCCTTTGATTTTGGAAATAAAATCTGATTTCGTTGGCAGAGCTGTGTTCCACCTCAGTGGCTAGAGCTCTCTCCTGGAACTTAATGCAAACCTGGAAGAAAAATGCAAAGTTAGGTAAAAATTTCCACTAGTGGCAACTCAGAGGGACTATTCTTTAGTATCTGGCATCTGGAACTCTGATTCTCCTCAAGATTTGCCTTTGTGTTTTCAAATCTCATCGTGTTCATGAGCCATTTGATATCTTCCCCAAAACTGTTTTTTTTAATTTTTTATTTTCTCCAAGATGAAGTTAGAGTCAGTTTCTCTTATTTGCAGTCCAAATATTTGAACATATATAGATATTGGTATCAGAAGTGGGGCTCAAAGAATAGACTTTAGGGGTACAAAGACTTGTGCTTTAGCCAGCTTTAAGTGACTTTTCTGTTATGAGAAAACAGCTATGGATACATAACTGTAACAATCACCTTGTTTTTTCATTCTGAATTCCTGTCTTCTAGACTAAAAATCATTGAAGACACTAGAAGTAGAATTTAAAGGACCCTGTAGGTTCTCACAATTTTTTGGAGACTGGTTATCAAACTAACAAACACATCAAAACAGTTTTATCTTTGTTCTCTTAGGTTTTGAGAACCGAGTTATAATCACTTTCATTAAACACTGTCTATAAAACAAAGTAGAATAAGTAATACTGCTGATGTTAATGCATACCTCAAAGCAGTTATCTACAGGTGAGGCCAGCAATCAATAGAAATGATTGTGAGGTCCTCATATATGGTTTGTTTCCATGGTTACTATCTCACCAAAGCAGGAATCAGTGGTAAAATCACCGGGAGCAGAGGAGCAACCTTTTCCTGCATTGTAAGAGCATTCCCAAGTTGGGCAGGGTGGCACACCCTTGTAATCCCAGAGGCTGGGGAGGCTGAGGCAGGAGGATCTCAGTTCAAAGCCACCCTCAGCAACTTAGTGAGGCCCTCAGCAACTCAGTGAGACCCTTTCTCTAAATAAAATACAAAATAGGGCTGGGGGGTTAAACACCTGTATTTCAATCTCAGTTCTCTCCCCAGAAGCTTCTCAGATTGAATTCCAAAAAGCTGTAGAAACACAGGTTAACCTTGGAGCAAAAATAATTATTTCTAAGGTTGCTAAAGAATGTTGTTCCTTTAACAAACACTGCTGAGCTTCCTATTCTTCGATACAAACTATTTTGTGCTGCTGTTATAGCATCTATCTTTTTTCAGACACAGCTTCTTTATTGGGAATAATACAAGTCTTAGCCTTATAAATTAAGAATCCAATTTAGCATCCCTGCTAACTGTCAGATTTTCTCTCTTCCTGTAAAAGCGACATACCTGATGACAATATTTGACCATCCTCAACCCATAGAGTACATCTTTTCTAAAGCTATTAAGCAACTAAACCAAGAGGATAGAGAAGATTTAAAAAAAAATGACCATAACTATTCCTGGCACTTTTGTATGCCATATAATTTCTTTTGCATCTTATTAAGTTTGAGTATTTTCTTCTCCAGTCAGTTGAGTGTATTCTATGTGGGGTTTGAATAATGTTTCCCTCCCAGATAACTTCTATGCCATCAAAAATCCCTTTAAACTTCTGGCAGGTGGCAGCCTTAATGTTTAGATTCCATGTCTGCTTTTGGCTTAGAATTTTGACTTGACAGTCATCTAAGCAGTAGCTGCTAATACCTGCTGGGTTTCTATTAAGAAGTCTGTCAGTCGGTGGCCCTGGAGTGTATAGATTCTGATGATAAAAATCTTGAGGACCAAAGGACGGTCTTGCTCGTGGAGTGAACTACTACCATTCCACTGGCCTAGTTTGGGAGGCAGACATTTACCATCCAACTCTGGAGGTGCTTTTCTTATTCATTGGGCAAATGGAGATCTGGGAGGTTAAGCAGCGAGGGAAACCGACTCACCACCGAAGTGTTCAAGCTGGACATGACAGGGCTGTGGACAGCCATGCACTTGTTGGACGGCTGCTTGCAAGCTGACATGAGTTGCAAGACTTCCTTGGGATCTGTGGCGACTTTGACATCAGACAGTCCTTTGGCCCACGCGGATGAGCCCACCAACCACAAGAAGGAGAAGACCACGGTGACGATGAAGTCCTACAGAGCAGAGATTGAGCAGGAAAAGAAAATGGACGTGAGTTCTAGGAACAAGTCAAGTACTTTATATAACTACTTGCTTTGCCTTTTAGAAAAATTCCAAGATCCCATAGCAGGAGGAACAAGAGAGAGATGTTGGATAATGAAGATTGATGATATTCATACTGACATAAAATATACAATAATAGTAATAGTCATTGAATGCTCACCATGTCTCAGGAACAATGCCAAGGACTATATAATCCTCATCTGATAGATCCTACAACATCCCTTATAATAAGTATATAACAATGATTTAACCACTGAGCCTTTTTAATTTTTTATTTTGAGACAGGCTCTCGCTGTGTTGTTAAGGGTCTCACTAGGTTGCTGAGGCTGGCTTTGAACCCACGATCCTCCTACCTCAGCCTCCTGAATTGCTAAGATCACAGGTGTGGGCCACCATACCTGGCAAGAAAGTTCTTATCATTATTCTAAGAGCCGTCCAAGGCTTTCTGACTACTGAGTCCTAGCTCTTACCCACCAAGCTCTGATGGCTTTAAAGAGTTAGAGTTTAGCAGTTCTTGGAGTCCCTGGATGGTAGTATCCATCCATTTATCCACTTGTTGGTTTAACACACCTATGCATTATCTATGTTAGCCCAGGAACACTGTTACATGGAAGGCAATAATAGCTATAATATTTTGTGCCTACTGTGGATGAGAGGTTTTATATAAAATCATTCTTACAATAATCATGTTAGACTGTATTTGTAGGACTTATTTTAGAGATGGGGACACTGAGCTTCCAGGAGGTCCAAGATAACACTTAGGAAGTGACAGAACCAGAATTCATATCCAGGTCTGACTCTAAAAACCACCCGTTTGTAGGGGAAAAAGCTTCTTTATTTTTAACAACAACAACAAAAAAATCTCTACGATGTAAGGGGTCGACTATTTCAGACACAGAATTCTCTAATGGGACAGAACCCTCCTATGTTCACCTACGAACTCACGACCCGTGAAACTCCACATTATGTACAACCACAAGAATGGGGAGTTAGACTCCATGTATTAGGGACTAGTTACCACGTCCTCTCTCATGGAAGGAGAGGTGGGAGTCACTGTCCAAGACTTGAGCACAGTCCATGTCCTAACAGACCCTTTTTCAGATTTAGTGTGCTTTCATTTGACAACTACGAAAATGTTACATGCTGTTTACCTAAAATAACTAAAAGAAACACCAACCCAGAAAGAAATGTAATACCTTTGATACATCCAAAAAACAGTCCTCTCTTGGCTGGCCGCGGTGGCACATGCCTGTAATCTCAGTGGCTTGGGAGGCTGAGGCAGGAGGATGGCAAATTCAAATCCAGTCTCAGCAACTTAGCGAGGCCCTAAGCAACTCAGAGAGACCCTGTCTCGAAATAAAAAATAAAAAAAGGGCTGGGGATGTGGCTCAGGTTCAATTCCCAGTACCAAAAATAAATAAATAAATAAATAAATAAAAAATAAGAAAATAAAAAGAAAGAAATAGCCTGCTCTTTTTATTCTAGATAGTAAGTCCTGTCCCGAGCAGAAATCTTGGACTGTTTCTTTCCTACCCAAGGGCAGGAGCTTCTGATTTGCCTGGGTCCTGTTGTCCCTGGGGATAAATGACTTCTCATCAAGCTTCTGTGATCTGCACTGGGGACTCTGACATTGCTCAGGTGCTGAATGAGCCTGGATGTGATAGGGGGACCTTTGTGGTGAATGTTTCAGAGAGTTTTATAACTATCAATGGCTAAACCTTTGGAACAACTGGTCTCTTTTCATCCAGGGACTGTTCTGAATCTTGTAACTCAGTTTACCTTTTTGTGTTGGCTCTAGAATATTTGGGTCAATCCACAATTTATTCACATGGTTTTTAGGGCATAGTATTTGTTTTTATGGGGTACTGGGGATTGAACTCAGGGGCACTCGACCACTGAGCCACATTCCCAGCCCTATTTTGTATTTTATTTAGAGACATGGTCTCACTCAGTTGCTTAGCACCTTGCTTTTGCTGAGGCTGGCTTTGAACTCGAGATCCACCTACCTCAGCCTCCTGAGCCACTGGGATTACAAGTGTGCACCATCATGCCCGGCTAGGGCATGGTATTTTTAATTATTTTTCTATACTCATCTTTCTTTCCTTCTTATTTTTGATTAGTTACATCTTGAGTTTTATAAACCCTTATACACCACCTTAAGTTCTTTTTGGAATGAGGCAAAGTGTCAACCAACATGCAAATGAATATGCCATCTACAATTGCTTCAACATTAATAAGAACATTTGGAACAGAGAAACTCAAGTGATGGGTTTGAACTAGAAATTGGAGGAATGGTTACAAATAAATAGGCCAGATAAACTGTCAAATCATAATTTCCTGTTTACCTACAATTTGAATCTTCATTCATTCATGTATTCATGCACTCAAATAGTAAATTTTGATTAATGTGCCAAAGACTTGTGTAGTCTTATGGAGGATAAAAACATGCAAATCAGGGACTTTGATCTTTTCAATTACATATTGATTATGGGCCCATATTGACCATCATATTCTGACCATGGGACTGTGGTGGTCATTATCTACACTTATCATGTTTACAAAAAGTCTTATTAAAAGGCCAGTAGGATCAGCATACTACCGTGACAGAGCTACATTGATGTTTACAGCAGCCCAATTCACAATAGCTAAGCTATAGAATCAACTTTGGTGCTCTTCAACAGGTAAATGGATTAAGAAAATGTGGTATATATACACAATGGAATATTACTCAGCCATAAAGAAGAATGAAATTAGGGCATTTTCCTGTAAATGGATGGAGCTGGAGACTATCTTGCTAAGTGAAATAAGCCAAGCTCACAAAAACAAAGGTTGCGTGTTCTCTCTAATATGCGGATACTGACTCACAATAGGCAGGGGGCAGGGAGGAATGGAGGTTCACCAGATTGGACAGGGGAATGGGGGAAGAGAGAGGGGGTTGGGAATGGGAAAGACAGTAGAATGAGTGGGACAGAACTTTCCCATGTTCATATGTGAACACACGACCAGGGAAACTCCACATCATGTCCAACCACAAGAATGGAAAGTTAGACTCCATGTATGTATAATATGTCAAAATGTATTCTATAGTTATGTGTAACTAAAAAGAGCAATAAAATTTTTTTAAAAAGGCCAGTAGGATGGTGGAATCAGAACAGAATTCTGTGAAGACCTCTCAGTTGGAGATTGGAGAAAATCATGTGAAAGCTTTTATATTTATTAGTTTAAATCCTCATAATGCCCAACATTTAGTGAGTATTTTTCTAAGTTCATATGCATCCACTCATTTAATTCTAATAATAATCCTGTCCCATTTTGCTGTGGGGGAAAATGGTGTACCAAGAGGTGACATAAACTGTCCTAGTCACAAGTGGGTAGATGCAGGGTCTGGGATCCTAAGCCTGTCCATCTGCCTCCAGGGACTGCTACTCTATGCTGCTTCTCATGTCTCCTTGAAGGAATGAAAGTCTTCCTTCTTATTTACTTTTTATTTTTACTTAAGGAATGATGTCCGGATGGAAGCTATTACTTCCTACTCCCCAAATAGGAGTCATTCCTGTGAACCCACCAATTCCATGATTTTTATTATTATTATTTTTTTGGTACTGAGGACTGAAGCCAGAGGTGCTTAGACACTGAGCCACATCCTCAGCCCTTCTTTATTTTTTATTTAGAGATAGAGTCTCTCTATGTTGCTTGGGGCCTCACTAAGTTGCTGAGATTGGCCTTGCACTTTCAATCCTCCTGCTCAGCCTCCTGCGTGGCTGGGATTACAGGTGTGCACCACTATGCCTGGCTATGATCTCTCTTTCAAAACAAGTACACTAAATTGTTTTTCAAAAGAAGTTCTTGAGGTCTTGCTTAATTTACTATGAAAAATAGTAATGAAGCATTTTCAGGAAAGAAACTATAATTGAAACCAAAGATTTATGTGGTCATACTTAGTACAGTGCTTTTGGAAGCGGATTCATTCTTTTACCTTCTAGTTTCATCTCCGAAAGAGAGATCTGTACAGATGATCTCTTAAATGAGTTAAAAGCTCAGACTCTGTTCCCGGACAGGCCTGGGTTTGAATACTTCATTTTACACTTGATCGCTTTGTGTCCGTAGGGAGTTTGCCAGACCACTTGAAGCCTCAGTTTCCTCTCTGTCAATTGGGATAATAACAGTATCTGTTTCATAGGAGGGTTGTGAGGCTGAAATAAGATGCTATAAATCACATGCCTATTGCTGTGTCTGGCAAATAGTGAGGAACCAGTGAATGTCCTCTTTAACCACCACCAATAACAGCACCAGTCAGTGCAATACCACCGTAACTAGCATGACCCATGGAGCAGGAGCTTACATGACTGTGTATCTACTTTGAGTAACTTCTGTCTATGGAAGTGGAAAGATGGAGATTTTGAGCAAGGTTGCAAACCTCAGCATTTAAAAATCACGAGCTGGGCACCGTAGTGCATGCCTGCAATCCCTGAAGCTTGGGAGGCTGAGGCAGGAGGATCTCCAGTTCCAAGCCAGCCTCAGCAACTTAGCGAGGCCCTAAGCAACTCGGTGAGACCCTGTCTCTAAATAAAATATAATAATAATAATAATAATAATAATAATAATAATAATAATAATAAAATAAATTGGGCTGAGGATGTGGCTCAGTGGTAAAGCACCCCTGGGTTCAATCCCCAGGGCTAAAAGTAAATAAATAAATAAATAAAAACATTGGAACAAAGAAGTTAATGTGAACCCTTAAAAATAGGGCTGTAGGACATTATTTATTGACGTTTGTCTACCCCAGCACAGTAGGTAGAGCTGCACATACATCCTCTGCTCAAAAACGGACAGTGACACCCACCTTCCTGACAATAGAAGCCAGAGGCCACACAGAGGCTCCCAAGAGATCACCATCTGGCTGTGCCTACTGCCTCTCTGATTTGGGTTCCTGTCCTGTCCTCCCCCCCCC